CAAAACCCTCAGGGGTAACCAGGGTAACAGCTATACACCAGCAAGTCGTGGGCGTAGTAGAGTCGGGTCCAGTCGACTGATGGAGTCCAGCGCGCGCAGATCGTCGTCAATATCGGTGCTGTGGGCGCTGCGCCTGCCACGAAGTCTGCACTTCGAGAAACCTGCAAACGAGCCACATGTCCAAAAGTCACGACTCACTGCACCTGTCACGAAATCTGAGCTCCTCGACGATCACCACCACGTCCATGCAAAGTGCTGCGCCTGCCACGAATCTTGCAGTTCGAAGTAAAACGAGGTTTCCCTTGCGCCTGCCAGGAAAAGTGACCGCCGTGTGCGAAAATACGCACGGCGCCACAACGAGAGCGCAGTCGTAGAAGCACCCGCCGCGGCCACCCAGATTCAGCGAGCCTGCGCAGTCGAAATGCACTTTGAGGATTTCGAGAGGCATGAATGTACTGTAAATAGCAGCGAATTAGCTGGACACGCGCGGGCGGCACACCGATCTAAGCACAGCTGCTTTTCCCTCGCCGTAAGAACCCCTAAGTGTGTCCACACTGTTTGGGGAAAAAATATTCTCTTGGCTGTGCTTCACAATAGATGAAATAGATTGAAACAGTATTTCGGCAGAAATCTATGTTGCACCAAGTCAAAGCCTGCACTGCGTTAGGCCCAAAATGACCAACATATCAAGAGACAGCCTGTAGCGTCAGGCATTGAAACCTGACAAGACACAGCTCTTCATGACTCTGTGTCGCTCTCCCTCCCTCTCTCTCACTTTTTGTTTTTTTCTCTCTCTCTCTCTCTCACTTAAAGATCCAGCAATTGTCAAGCGACTGTCCAAACTTTGCAATGTCAAGGGCTTTTTCTACGTGTTTCTCACTGGTCAAGCAAAGGCCACTGCAGGTAACACCGTCTGCAAAATACTGGACGTTGACATGAACCTAAACACTGGCGGGATGACAGCTGTGCATGGGCTTGTAGTGTATACACGTTTGAATCTGTGGCAATATTGGCCATGGACTTCTTGGCGTGAAAGCATCGGATGGTCAAAGCAATGAGATCTCGAGATGTGCGGGAAAGCGCAATGAGGTGGAACGTCTTGACTTCGCTCATCACCAGCTGAAACTGCGACGGCAACTACCGAAGCGGAAAAAGGGCAAGACTACGTTCATACGTTCATAAGATGTGAACCGTGCAAGCGGCTTCACCCACTTCAAAGTCAAAACTTGGACACGTCATGGTGGCAAACTGATTGAAGTTTTGACCCATGCTGGCGTTTGCCTTTGACGTGTCCAACGGATGAATGATAACCTTCGGGTAGTCTCCGGTGTACCTTGCGCAAAAGGAATGTCACAATGCATAAAACCGGTTCCTAGAAAAATTCACCATGAGGTCACTCAGCATAAATTTCCCTGCTTTCTCGGTCTTAGCATTCAGCAATCACCCCAAATGCAAAGCGCGATTTGCACGTTTAGTCTTTGTCTTGTCTTACCAAATCAAACTCAGAAACACACTTTGACTGTAGCCTCCTTGCACAGGTGCTACCTTGGACTCTGACTTGTTTACCTTTCAAACCAAACTGACGATTTGTCAAGCTAAGCTCGGAGACTCTTACGCCTTCAGTGGATACTTGGATGCTCAAGTCCTCAATTGCAGGGCAAATGCAAGCGTCAAATCACATTCGTATTATTTGTGTGTTCAACATGGAACACGGCATCCATACCTTTGATGTGCACTCAAGGGTCGGGATTTGCTGGTTCGATCCGGCAAGGTGTTTGCAACTATAGGATTAATGTTTGATGGCTTGTGCATTGCGTCTTTTGGCATGTGCGAAACTGTGAGGCGGAAATATGCTTTGCTGGCGTTTATAGGGCTCGGGAACCCAGTTGTGATCTTTGGAATTGTATGGATATGCTTAGTAAATCTGTGTTGCAGGTGCTGAAGCTGCGACCCTTTTGCTATGAAAGGGTGTGAGGGATACTTCGGGCACCGAACCCGATTGCCGTGTGGGGAAATGCGCCTTCAGGCGCCGTGAAGGTTTGGGCCATTAGTAGCGTGCCCCCTAGTAGCGTCTCCTAGTAGCGTCCTCGCTCCTAGTAGCGATGCCAGGAGCCCCTAGTAGCGTCCTTGCACCTAGCAATGCCAGGAGCCCCTAGTAGCTCCTAGTAGCGATGGCAGGAGCCCCTGGGCCCCTAGTAGCATCCTTGCTCCTAGTAGCGATGCCGGGAGCCCCTAGTAGCGTCCTTGCTCCTAGTAGCGATGCCAGGAGCCCCCCTAGTAGCGTCCTTGCTCCTAGTAGCGATGCCAGGAGCCCCTAGTAGCGTGCTTGCTCCTAGTAGCGATGCCAGGAGCTCCTAGTAGCGTCCTTGTTCCTAGTGCGATGCCAGGAGCCCCTAGTAGCGTCCTTGCTCCTAGTAGCGATGCCAGGAGCCCCTGGTAGCGTCCTTGCGCCAGGAGCGTAGTAGCGATGCCAGGAGCCCCGAGTAGCGTCCTTGCTCCTAGTAGCGATGCCAGGAGCCCTAGTAGCGTCCTTGCTCCTAGTAGCAATGCCAGGAGCCCCTAGTAGCGTCCTTGCTCCTAGTAGTAGCAGCGTCCTAGTAGCGATGCCAGGAGCCCCTAGTAGCGATGCCAGGAGTAGCGATGCCTGGAACCCCTAGTAGCAGCGTCCTAGCAGCGATGCCAGGAGCCCCTAGCGTCCTTGCTCCTAGTAGCGATGCCAGGAGCGCCTGCTAGCGTCCTTGCTCCTAGCGATGCCAGGAGCCCCTAGTAGCGTCCTTGCTCCTAGTAGGTAGCGATGCCAGGAGCTCCTGGTAGCGATGCCAGGAACCCCGAGTAGCGTCCTTGCTCCTAGTAGCGATGCCAGGAGCCCCTACTAGCATCCTTGCTCCTAGCGATGCCAGGAGCCCCTAGTAGCGATGCCAGGAGCTGCTAGTAG